CCCCCCCCCCCCCTCCCTTTCCCCCTTCCTGTCGCGTTCTTGACCCGTCTATGGAACCAGAACCGACTTCGTTGGAGATGGGCTAAAATTTGGTAACATCCATCATGCTTCGTTCTATGGCTTGTTGATCACTGCTAACTTCTCTATGTAAACCTGGAGTGTTCGATTCCATTGCATTACAATTAGTAAAAACGGGAACTTCCATGCGGTAGAACTGATCTGCTTTCATGCAGCTTCATATTGGTGTCCGATTGTCCTTCTAAAATAATTACGTTTGGAAAAATTTTGTTTGTGAATGCGGAGCATAAGAGAGAATATACATTGTGAGGTTTTTAAACAAGTGCTATTGCAATTTCAGGCATTCCGGATGTGGTACGAATAATACGAACGATCAAAGAACGTGATATGATCCCGGTGATCGTCTTCTCATTCAGCCGTAAAGAATGCGAAGCATATGCAACACAAATGACAAATCTGGATTTCAACACCGGTACTTTTACTTTATAGTACAATTGATCAACTGTTGCCTTTCATCTCACAGGGCATCTTTGTAACTAGTGACCGTTCCGTGGTTGCTTTGATGACCAAAACTGCATCACTTGATGGTCGTTCTGCTGTTTGATGGCCCTGTAACTCGCCGCGGTCCTTTTCATATTCACTTTTTTGAGAGGGAATTATTAGGCGTGTATCATTTTTGCTATATCTCTTCTGCTTTTGCTCTCCACCTGCTAATTTATGGGTGGTCTCTCCATGCTTTTCTACACCAGCTGACCAAAAACGCTAATTTTGATCTCCATCTGCTGATGGGTTGTCTCTGTATACTGTTCTACAACAGCGTTTCACTCAGAAGTGGCCAAAAATGTGCCGAGAGTTAGCTGCAGAAGAGATTCCTTAGAACGTTTTGGACTCCAGCTGCGAAGATACTAGAGCTCGCACAGGAAAGCGGACGTTGATCATTTGCAACAAAAGTCTGCCGATGCTGCTGAGCTCAGTTCGCGCTTATTGCTTATTGCAGAAAATGAAAAAACAGTGGTACGGGAAATATTTGTGAATGCGATCAGTTTGTTATCAGATGAGGACAGCAAATTACCAGAAATTGGCCGAGTGCTTCCGTTGCTGTTGCGTGGCATTGGAGTACATCATTCCGGGCTGCTTCCAATCATCAAGGAAGTGATCGAGATACTCTTCGGCGAAGGGCTAATCAAAGTAAGCCTTATACACTGCTGCACAACCAGCGACTCAGTTTCTTTAAAAAAAAAGCATGCTCTGTTCTCGGAAACCAGCGTTGCAGTTGCGGAAACTCGGCTCGGCCGGCGTCGTACACAATTTGCAGGCCATTTTTACGGATGTCCTTACCCCGCTGCCAAAAAGAACGCTGGATGGCGCAGAAGGGGTGGTTGTAATTTAATGAAAATAAA